ATGAGGACCACTCGTGTGCAATCAACCCAATGTACGAGGATAAACTCGACAGATTTTACTAATGCATTCCTGATGTAACACTTAGACTGTACTCGTAGCGCGATACATCATATGGAAGGAAGCGCGTGATAACGTTAGCAGTAGCGAGTCAACGCGTGAACAATAGGTTCGCACGTATAGTCACCCGAAGGGTCACGCCACTCTCAGTCACACGAACAATCACTAGTCATGTCACGTGAATAGTCGTGTCGCGATACACTACGAACAGTACATCCGAATAGGTACTTCGTAGACTATAAATATGTATGTATTACTTATTATTATTATCCTTGTCGTTTTGGATATTTCCAATACAAGGTGTAAAGTCTTCCGCTGACTTATACTCGTGGTTCCTCCAACTGTAGATCATGGCTGTTAAATTATATAAGTTATTATAGAAGTGTAGGCTTGGTAGATGTTACTGAACATTACTGTAGAGGGTACAACACCCCTCCTTGTACCCCCCTCTCTTCTTTCCTAGTTCTCTTTTCTCTCCTCAACTTTCCTAGCACCTAAAACCTCTCGCCATTTCCATGGCTCCTCCTAGCTCCTAGCTAAACCTCCTGCCATTTTATGGCTTCCTAGCTAAGCTAGTCTTGTGACAATGGCCACCCTAAACACGTGGTTCGTTTCAACATGGTATTCTGAGCTAGTGGAGTTACAGGAACCGATACAAACTGATTTCAATTACGCCCTTAAGCTTAAGTCATAGATTCTCTACTGACGATCTATGTGGCTTTGCTTCTTTGATGGCTAATCAGTATACTCAGCAACAACAACCAACTCCACCGCATCCTCCTGCCTCCATGAGCCTTGATAACTCTAGTTATGCAAGAGCCAATGTTGTCACTAGGCCTTCAGCCTCTGGAGATGAATCTGCTGGGTCTTTTGCCTTCCATGGGCGACTTGCTCAACCGCAGCTACAACAACAACCACAGCAGCAACAACATCAAATGGCAGAAGAACGACCATTAGTTGCAGAAGCTGTCGCAAATCAATCGGATTTTATAACGATCTCCAAGCTGAAGACCCCAACTTACTTTGATGACTGGGACTTCTATACTTGGGGATTCGAGTTCAAAATCCTTGCGCAATCTTCTGGTATCTGGGGATATTTCGACAGTTCAATCCGTTATCCAAAGATAGGAACGATCGAAGAACGGGTGCGTTATTACAAGTACAGTATTCGCTTATGGCCTATACACTACTGGTGCGGAATCTCTCACCTGAAGAGCAGTTGGGATTTCGGTGCTTCAAACCTTCACTCGCTCCAGCCTTCGGAAACGGATCTCCAACGCCAAGACCAATCGTGGTCTTAATGTCTTATGCGTCACGCCTCAGCCTTCTCGCACCAACTCCCTTAACGAACCTGCAGCAGAGCCAACATAAGCAGCAGCAGAAGTCATAAAGTCACCAGTCATAACCACTGGGACAAGAAGGGATGACATAAGGATGGTTAGGCTCCATATATCCACCTTCCCCGGGGAAAGCCTCCCCAATACCCTCCCTAGACAAAGAGAGAGGATCTACAGGGTTATCCCAGTGCCACGACACACCCCCTCGTTGGGATAGCGTGTACACCAGGAATTGAACCCCGGATGGCTCTGATACCAAATCATAAAGTCACCAATCCTAACCACTGGGACACGAAGGGATGTCATCAGGAGGGCTAGGCTCCATATATCCACCTTCCCCGAGGAAAGCCTCCCCAGTACCCTCCCTAGATAGAGAGAGAAGATCTACAGGGTTATCCCAGTGCCACGACAGCAGAAACAGTTCAAAGTACATGGACATCTGGAGATGGAAATTGGGGTTACGACAATCAAGAACCAGCATCTTCTACAGTCGAAGAACCTATGGAGGTTGAACGCACATGGGGCAAGAAAGAGTTAATCGTACTTGATGCTTGGGCGCGTCGCCGACACCTCGGCATACCTTGGGTTGAAACTGCAGAAGAAGCCGGGTTCATCCAGCCTTTTGGCACCGGCAGCTGCGTCAACGCTGCGCCAACGATTCATCTTTCAACGATTTTCTTCCTTCACTCTGACTTGTACCTGTGTTCAAAGGGACAGAGGACTACAACAGAAATCTGGCACAAGCGGTTAGGTCATCCCTCGCAAGAAGCTCTCAACAATTCAATTAATGCCTCGATTTTCGACAAGGACGCACTCTTTTTAACCAACGGCAAAGAGCTTCGGCCTAGCAGTCGTCAAATATCCTGCACCATCTGCCCCGGAGCTCACCTAATTCACGCTCTGATTCCCGTCGCACTTTCCACGTGCTACTAAGTACTCACCTATGGATTTCATTTTCAGCGACATACTCTTCATGCCGCAAGAAGCAGAAGATACCAGCGGCAACGACTACCGCTATATAATTACCTTCATCGATAGTGCTACTCGATATGTTAGGCACAAGAATATCTCTCACAAGTCGGAAGCTCTCGACGCCTTCAAACTATGGCTGAAAATAGCGGAGCGGCAGAGCGGCATCAAGCTGAAAGAGATCCAAACAGACAACGAGGGCAAGTACACTAAAGAGCAGTTTGAAGAATTCCTGGCACAGAAAGGGATACCCAGGCGCAAGATTGTGCCTTACGCCCATCATTTGAGTGGAGTAGCTGAGAGGACGAACAGCACACTACAAGAGAAGATGCACATGCTGCTTCAACAGTCTAGCTTCACAACAGACTTTTGGCCGCTTGTGATGGCGCAAGCTATCCGCCTACACAACTGCTTATCTTCAACAGCTCTCCCTGAGTTCAGTTCGCCACACATCATGTGGACAAAACACCCCGCGGAGGTCATCGCACTTTCGTCAGCCGAAGCCGAATTCGTCGCAGCAAGCTGTGCAGTTCACGAAGGACTCTATCTTCAGGAGTTACTTCAAGAGGTGAAAATCGCAACGACACGTAACTTCTAGTTACTCTGCGACTACTAGAGTGCAATCAAGATTGCAAACAAACAGGTATATCCGAATAGGTATTTCCTAGACTAAAAATATGCATGTATTACTCATTTATCCTTGTCATTTCGGATATTTCCAATACAAGGTGTAAAGTCTTCCGCTGAATTTTTCTTGTGGTTCCACCAACTCTAGATCCTACAGGTAGTGTAATAAATGGGCCATGATTTAAGAGTGTTGATACAAATAAGGACCACTCATGCGATCAACGCAACATACGAGGAAATCAATGGCTGCGGTATCTCAATGACCACGTACGCGGTGAGCGAGAATCTTCGATGGCTCAGTTGTTGGCTCGGGTACTGGATTGACCATAGGATTGATGTGCTGGCAGTCAAGATTAGCAGCACTCGGGACGAATGATCATAGGAGACTGACGTGGAGAGAATCATGGATTCGCCAGTCAGTCGGCAATTGCAGCCGGGCGGTGACTGGTGTCACCATTCAAATAATGCGGAATGGTCCGCAAAATCTTGGTCTTAACATATTTGGGAGGGGAATGCCCAAATTCCTGGTGTCCAGCAAGACCATTTGCCCAGGGGCAAGTGTTAAGTCTCGGCGTCATCGATCAGCTTGCTGCTTAGCCTTCTGGTTAGCGTTTAGGATGGCATCGGCGACTTTTTGCTGAGACTGTCGGATATTTTTTACGAACTAATGGGATCTTGGTGCCGGGTTTTCTATCAGTGGCGATAGAGGGGTTGCTAGATCTATCCCTAATTATGGTAGAATAGGGGCTGAGTTGTCGTGGCTGATGGGGCGTTGTTGTACGCAAACTCGATCAAAGGAAGGGCATCCTCCCATTAGTTTGGGTCTGTGCATATCGTGTGAATCAGCTGCTCCATCGTCTGATTGGTGCGCTCAGTCTGGCCATCTGATTGCGGGTGGTATGCCGTGGACAGATGCAGCCTTGTGCCATACTGCTGCGAGATTTAGTCCAGATGTTTGACATGAAGCATGGATCGCAGTCCCTAATGATTGCCAAAGGAATGTCGTGTAGTCGCACGATGTTTGTGAGGATCAGTTTCGCTGTCTGCTCGGCTGTAATTGTCGTTTTTGTTGTGTGATGTCATTATATGCTATCACATTCTGTCTGCCTCCCATCCCTTGTTTCAATTCGCATGTATGGTTTGACTGTGTGTGAAAGAATTTGTGTGGTGTGTGTTCTGGAGTTTGGGAATGTGTTTTTTGTTATTCTGTCCGAGCAGGTATTTGTGATGATAGATCTTGAGAAGATCTTTCCGACGCAACAAGAATCGCTTCAATCGGAGCAAGAACGCGAAATCTATGAAGATTCAAAGTTCATGAGCTTGCGTTACAATTGTGGCGGTTACAAAGTGAAGTTGTAGGGTGACTCTATATGGAGTTGGGGAAATTTGTCACTCTACTGTAACAGCTGCAAATTGGTTGGGAACAACCAAGCTAGGTTGGCAAGGGTGGCCAACTTGGATGGATTGGTTGGGAAGGGACAAATGTCAAAGTTGGGGTTCCTATAGGGGGGGAATCTTTGTGCTTATGGGGTTTCCTTGGTTGGGGACTCTCTTAGGACATTCCCTCTCATCCCTCTCTTCTATCCCAACCTTTCTCTTGCTCCTCTAATTCCTTGTGAGATTCTTGAACCTTGATTGAACTTTTGAGATTGAGTTAAGTTCTCCTCCTACAGCTCCCCCCCAGTGCGTCGAAACACATAGCGTCGCGAATACTCCATCAATCGACATGATTCAAATTGAGAACGGTAGCTAAGGGTACAAGCTACAACATATCCGAGTTTAGCGACATTCCAACAGCTAGTTTTTTGTCGACGTCGTTTCTTGTGAAGACGACTTTTCTGTCCAGAATTTCGGATTTATATTTTGAGTAATTCTAGCTCCTAAGTTTACCTAGACTCTGTCCTTAATTCTAACAAGTGGTATCAGAGCGATATTAAGGATATTAAGAGGAGTCTACAGAAGTTTGAAGACCCTTCTAGACCCAGCATGGCCTGTGGGTGTGCCTAAGTGGTGTTATAAAGGTTGGATGTGTCTTCCGCTAAGGGGAAACTCTGCCGAAATTTCGTGGACGCCGACACTTGTGAAAATATCGAGGGAGCTGAGTGTGGACAGCAAAGGGGAGCTGAAATTCGTCATTTCTCAAGGAGAAGATGAATGGGAGAGGAGGAGATGCTAATGGAAGAGGAGCTGTACATGAGAAGACAAGTGAGCCACCGCCATCAAAAGTTCAAGCTTTGGATGGCTCCAACTATGAGGAATGGAGCGGGCGGATGAGGAGTGCCTTCAAACGCTACAAGCTACTGAAGATTGCTGTTGGGGAGGAGAAGATGCCGGAAGAAGGCGAAGCACGTGAACGGTGGATTGAGAAAAGCGCGGTGCTTTTCGACCTCATCATTCAATCGGTCAACAAGGAGATGTTCGAGCACATCAAGGATCTTGTGGAAGCGGATGATTCGGGTCCAAGGGCGTGGAAACTACTACGCGATGTGATTCAGCCCAACACTCTGCTGATGGTGATCATGCTCGAGAAGGAACTTGCTGCCATCTCCATGCGACCAGGGGACGATGTGAAGCCGGTCCTTGACAAGATCAAGGACACCTATGCAAGGATGGTAGCAGCGGGCAGCAGTGTATCTCAGCTGCAGCAGTGCACCAAGATCATCTCGGTTTTGGACAACTCTTGGGACAACCTCATCCCCACCCTCAACTCTCAGCAAGATCAATGGACACCTGAGAGGCTAAGGCAGCAGATTCTGCAGGAGGACTTCCGCAGACGCCATGTGGGAGGTGGTGCTTCCACTAAGACTGCTGAGGGGTATGGAGCTGCAGGGCGCGGCAGAGGAAGAGGGGGTTGGAGAGGCCGAGGCCGTGGGAGGAGCTTTGGCAGAGGTAGAGGCCGAGGTGACTATAATGAGGGGCATGGGAGCTCTAGTGGCAGGGGGAGTACCAGAATGGAGGGCACCTGCTGGTACTGCAAGAAGGTCGGGCATCCTTGGTTCAAGTGCTTCAGCAGGTCGGAGGGATGGGCACCTCCAGGCATGAAGCTGCCCAGTGGTGAACGCGCACAAGGTGGCACTATGCAAGGCTCAGGTGCACAAGGTGAAGGTGCACAAGGTAATACCTATCCTGGGATGTTTCTCATGGTTGAGGATGTGCATGGGCATGAGGGTGATGTGGGATATGTGGGAAAGGTTGTGATGCACCCTTTCACGCGCTGGGTGATTGATTCAGGTTGCACAAGTCACATGACCTTACGGGCAGATTTGCTTGATGAGGTAAAACCCCCTGGGAAGATTAAGTATGTGCCAGCAGCGTCAGGTGCTTTGCTCCCTGTCATTGGTGTTGGGAATGCCAAGGTTAAGGGAGCTAATGGGGACCTTGTGGGGCTTGGGAATGTTCTGCTAGTTGAAGGTCTGTCTGCTAACCTTCTCTCTTTGCGGCGGCTGCAGAAGAGCAAGGCCGAAGTGACCTTTGGACCAACCAGCTGCCGTGCTAAGCTTGGGAAGAAGGTGCTGTGGAGTCTGGAAGAGGAGACCAGCTGTATCAAGGACCTATGGCAGCTGCGCATCATCCCTTGGAATGGGAAGACTCCAACAGCAGCAACGACAGCAGCGGCAAAGGCAACAGCAGGAGGAGATGCAACTGCACCAACTGATGGGGTCCTGGAAGCAGTCAAGAAAGTGCAGCAGCAGCAGACACATGGTGAGGTGCTTGCTGGTGTGGATGCGAGTGCGGCATGGGCTAAGGCTTCATCAAGGAGTGGTGAGGCCGATTGGGAGACATGGCATGAGAGGCTGTGTCATGTGAACTTCCCTATGCTGCAGAAGTTGGTGAAGGATGGGAGCCTGAAGGGCTTGGAGGTGAAAGGGGGAGTGAAGGAGATTGGGAGCTGCCCTACATGCTTGGAGACCAAGTTCTCCAAGTTCCCCTTCAACAGCACTACAGGACCAGCCAAGACCCCACTTGCACTTGTGCACATGGATGTGGTGGGGCCCACAAGAGCCCCTTCCCTCTCAGGCAGCCGCTATTTCTTGACAATTGTGGATGACCACACTCGGGCAGTGTGGGTTTACCCTTTGAAGAGCAAGGGGGAGGTGGCAGCGGCTGTCCTTAAGGAGTGGATGCCTAGAGCTCAGAGGGAATATGGACACAAGGTGAAGGTGATCCGTAGTGATAATGGTGGGGAGTTCATTGGAGCTGATTTTGAGGGGGAGTTGAAGAGGAAGGGGATCCAACATCAACTGACAGTGCCCTACAACCCGCAGCAAAATGGCGTGGCTGAGAGGTTCAACAGGACCCTGCAGGAGGGGGCACGCACTCTCCTTGGGCGTGCAGGGCTGCCTGATCCGTTTTGGGTGTCTGCACTGAGGCAGGTCGCCCTTGTGAAGAACAGGGTGCTGGCTACAGTTGGAGATAAGGAGTGGATCCCATATGTCAAGTGGTATGGGAGTGCTCTAGCTGTGAACATGCTGAGGGCATTTGGGTGCATGGTGGTGTTTCATGTGCCCAAGGAAAATAGGGGGAAGTTGGAGGCTTCTGGAAGATGGGGTGTGCACTTGGGGATTGCAAAGGATCACAAGGGGTGGCTGCTATGGGACTTGACCACCGAGAAGCTGATTTTGTCAAGGGATGTGAAGTTCCTTGAATCCCTATACTACAAGGAATGGAAGCAGCAGCAGCAAAAGCTTCCATCTACACCACTCATTGTGGAGGCAGATGAGGTGCAGCGGCCTTCAAGACAGATGGAGGTTGTAGTGTCTGAGGAGGAGATATCTGGGGTGACTGAGGAAGGGGGAGCAGCTGAAGTGGAGCAGCAGCAGCAACAGCATGAGTCTCCACTTCGAGTTCCACACCCGCCTGAGCGACCTAGAAGGGATGTGCATCCTCCGGTGAGGCTGACCTATGGGGGAAGAGGCAAGCCGAATGTGGTGCAGGCTGGGAGTGTGGTTGAGCAGATTCAAGAAGATGAGATTGCATTGTGCTATTGGGCTGCAATTCCTCAGCCTAAGGTACTGACGCTAGCTTCAACTTAGTGAAAGCGGATGGCACCAGCATTGGGAATATGTGTGCTTGTTAGGAGTTCCTCGATCATCAATTGAACATCTTTTTTTCAACCAGGTTCTTTCTGACGGAGATCCCGTTTCTTTGTCCATCATTTTCTGTTTATGCAAGCACTCTTCCCACTCCTTGAAGATGTCTGCGAAGATCTTTGCCATTACTAGGAGCATTGCATTGGCCCTGTTGTGGGTTGCTCCGTCTTGCCGGACTTCCTCGGCCGTCTTCATTGAATTTCTTGCCATAATCTGCTGATACAGTAGGAACTAGGACGACATCTCTCGGCTCAACTCTACTTTTACCTTGACATTCACGTGCAGTTCTTCTCTAGTTCTTGTGAGGTAGGCGGTGAGTTGTGTTTCATGGGTATGTAGTGTGTTGTGCGTATGGCCACAACATGGGTTTTGCATCACCTCAGCTTCACTACTAACTGCTTCAGGTGAAATAAAGGTTGCATGGATTCGCCTGCTCTCTTCCTTTCCACTGGAGTGCATGCATACAATATGGCACCAGGTGATTAAAATCTTTTTGGTCCTATTGCTCATATTTATTTATCGTTGTCTCCAGTTCGCATCTGATGACAGGTTTGCCTGCGTTAAGTATTTGCTCGTCCTGGGGTTCCTTTTGTGGCTTTTCCCGGTGGTCCTGGGGGTGGATCCGATGCTGGAGAGGATTCTCATTCTTAGGGTGCTGGTTCTGGGGGTGTAGTCCTGGGGTTACTATCGTGGCTCGTCCCGGCGGTCCTGGGGGTGGCACCGGTGTTGGAGAGGGTTCTCGCTCTGGGGGTGTTGGTGTGGAGGGTCCCGGAGGTGGCCGTGGTGCAGTTGGAGGTTGTCGTATCAGCGTAGAGGAGCAGCAGCAGCAGTAGCAGTCGCCGCCAGTTTCCGCCCTTCGCCTCTGCGGTCTTCCCTTCCCCGTCCACCCACTTGTGCCTCGCCCGCCGCCGCCTCCCTTGCCCACCTACGGCCCTGTGTTCCCTCCGCCATACTAGTTTCCGGCTCGTTTCCACCCTTGTTCTCCTCCAGTGTCTCCTGACCCGACGCCTCCGTCCCACTTTTGATCTTACCGTCCCTCTCGTGCTCGCTCTGTCTCTCTTGTCCAGCGTTCTCACCCTATGTTGCTTTGTTCCCACACATCCCGTCCTCCCCTCCTCCCGTTGCCTCCTCTGTCGTTGCTTGTTGTCTCTCCGCCTCGTCTGTCTGACTACCTTCGTGATGCTATTCCTCTTGTTCCTCGTGTCCTTGCCTCCCTCGTTACCGATCCATCTGTTCCTGTCTCGAGTCTTGACGCTCTTGTCGCTGCAGTCGCTAACTTTGCCTCTACTCCCCGCCTTGATTACGCCACTATTCTGGTCTCTTACCTTGCCCGTCCTCCGTCCGTCGAGGGTGCTCCTGCCCTCGGCAGAGACGTTCTGGAGGACCGCATTACAAGCTCGCTTTCCTGTCCGAGGCTGCTCCTCATCTCTGCTCCATGCTGCTAATCCCTGAGGGTGACCTAGATGCCCTTTGACATCCCGGCCCCTCGCACTTACGCTGAGGCGACCTCGGACCCTGGGCCTCTCAGTTGATAGCAGCCATAGACGCGGAGATGGCATCTTGGAGATCCACAGGCACCTACGTCGACGCAGTTCCCCCAACTAGGGTGAACGTGGTCAATGGCTGATGGCTCTTCAAGGTGAAGCGCCCTCCCAGAGAGTTACCGATATTCCGCCGGTGTTCAAGGCGCGCTATGTAGCTAGTGGCTTCTCTCAACTCGAGGGTGTTGACTTCTTTTAGACCTTCGCCCCGACCCCAAAGATGACCACTCTACGGGCGCTGCTGCACGTTGCGGCACAACGTGACTACGAGCTGCACTCCCTCAACTTCTCCACACCGTTTCTCCTTTTAACCAACGTCCACAAGCTTTGACCTTGCAGTCGTCAACTACCCTGCACCGTCTGCCCCGGAGCTCACCTTAGTCATGCTCCGTTCCCGTCGCACTAAGTACTCACCTATGGATGTGGTTTTCAGCGACATACCCTTCATGCCGCACAAAGCATAAGATATCAACGGAAGCGACTACCGCTATATAATTATCTTCATTGACGGTGCTACTCGATATGTCTGGCACAAGAGTATCTCTCACAAGTCTGAAGCTCTCGACGCCTTCAAACTATGGCTGAAAATAGCAGAGCGGCAGAGCGGCATCAAGCTGAAAGAGATCCAGACAGACAACGTGGGCGAGTACATTAGCAAGCAGTTCGATGAATTCCTGACGCGGAAAGGGATACCCAGGCGCAAGACTGTGCCTTACGCCCATCAACAAAATGGAGTAGCTGAGAGGATGAACAGAACGCTGCAAGAGAAGATGCATGTGCTCCTGCAACAGTCCAGCTTGACAACATACTTTTGGCAGTTTGTGATGGCGCAAGCTATATGCCTACACAACTGCTTATCTTAAACAGCTCTCCCTCAGTTCAGCTCACTACACGTCATGTGGACAAAAAAACCTGCCAAAACTCGACTATTACGAGTTTGGGGCTGCATGGTCCAATACAAACCTCCGAGCGCAACTGTGGGCATATTTACAGAACGAGCTCGTTGGGAAATACACCTACTCCTGGATAATAATGGATTACGAAACCTGATATTTTTGTATGCCCGAGACTGCATCTCCTACAAGAAACTTTTTCTCGAAGACTTCGAACGCGACAAGGAACGCCAGCAACGAGATCCTAATCGCTACAGTGCCGAACGGAGTTTTGCCACTCCTCGAGACGAAGTGGATGCAGCCGAAGAATATTATCCCCCCGACAGCGCAGCATTAGAACCTTCTACAGTTCCGCATCCGTCCTCGTCAGCGGCCGAACCTGGTCCCTCATCACGAGAAGAACCATTGCTCAAATATTATATCCCTTCGACACACGCCAACAACACTGAAACACCGCTCTTCATTCCCCTCTCAGACCCGTTGCGTCATGTCATGACATAGGCTGCCTATAATGTTGAGGAGCACCTGCGCCGATAGAAAACTGACGCAGCATTGCATGACGGTGCCCACCATCTGCCATCCGAAATTGACGATGATCAATCGGCTCTTCAGATCCTCGTGGTGATCAATCGGCTCTTCAGATCCTCGGACTTGTTGTCGAAGTTCATCAACCAACGATCGGGATCAAGCTGAAAACAATCAAGCAGGCCCTCTCAGGCTCTGATGCTGACAAGTGGCAAGCAGCTATGGATGCAGAGGTAGCAGCTCTCGAGAAGCGGAAAACGTGGAAACTCTTTCTACACGAAGCAGCACGCGATAAGAAAATACTTTCGGGCAAGTGGGTCTTTCGCATAAAGACAAATGCAGCAGACAAACCAGACAGATTTATGGGGAGATGGGTCGTTCGAGGATTCGAACAAACCCACGGCATCGATTACAACCAGACTTTCACTCCGGTCAGTCGTAATACCTCAGTTTGAATTCTTCTCGCCATTGCTGCAAGCCGCCACCTTCTACTTTGCCAACTTGACCTTGAAAATGTCTTTTTATACACAAGACGTCGATGCATATATTTTTGTTGAACTCCCTCACACTTACGGCGACAGACTTCACATTTGAAAATTACTTCCGTCACTCTACGGCATCAAACAGGCTCCTCGCCTGTGGTAGCAGCATCTTCACAAAGTGCTGATTTCACTCGACTTCTTGCAGGTGCCCCACGATCCTGGAATGTACAAACTCCAATTTCGCAAGCATTACATTCTTCTAGTCGCCTACGTGGACGACTTACTGTACACCGGCTGGTGCAACAATCTTTAGGCGTGCATGGAGGAAAGAATCCAAACGATTCTTGAAGTGACTATTTCCTCCAACATCACCCAATTTCTTGGGTTAACGTCAACTGCGGCCACGATGCCATCTACCTTTCTGCAAGCAAGTTCGCAGAATCACTTGCGAAAAAAATTGCCATCGCTCCTCTACGCCTCACCACTCCATTTCGTCATATTTCGGCCGATCACACACCTAATACTACCCCACTTACTGCCTCCGAGCATCAGTTTACCAGCAGCAGCTCGGGTGTCTTCTAGTTGCAGCCGTTACATGCCGCCTAGATCTTGCCTACATTTCGAGTCA